ATCTGAAACTCTCTTCACTTTGACTCAAACGGTTTTGCAAGCTTGTAATTGCAATTTAAGTCCCTCTATATCTCTTTGACTCTGCTTAATGTGATCTATTTCTTTCCTTTATTGCTCATTCAAGGAATCTGTCATTTTTCTAATCTCCTCTTTTTAATCAATGTCTTCTTTAGAAGTAGTTTTAAATTCCTTTACTGCAGTGTTTTTTTCAGATTGGGTTACCTCCCTATGTTTCTGTAGTTGATTCTTTACTTCAGATGTTATGAGTTCAAAGAACTCTTTTTTTTATTTCAGAAAAGAATTCTGCTCTGAGTTCCTCTATAACTTTCTGCTGTTGCTTATTTACTATCAACACTATTAATTCATACATTTGAGCTGAGCTAGTAGAAAAGAATTCCACTCTGTGTTCCTCTATAACTTTCTGTTGTTGTTAATTTACTATTTACGCTATTAATTCATACATTTGAGCTGAGCTATTGTCCTCTGCACTTATTTTGGGTGGGCATTGGGTTTCCTCCATATGTTTGTGCATTTGATTCTTTACTGAAGATGCTATTAATTCAGGGATTTCTTTTTTTATTTCCAATCTGAGTTCCTCTATACCTTTCTGCAGTTGTTTCTTTATTTCAGAAGCTTTTGATTCATTGGTTTCAGCTGTGTGGTTCTCAATTTGTTCTGTGTTAGTATCCTCTGCACTTGTTATGGATTGGCTTGGGGTCTGAGATTGCATTTTGTTCCTTCTCATTGGCATTTTATATAGCACTGTCTTCTGACCTTTGTTGTAGAGCTTTGGTGCAGTTATAACCTTAGCACCTACCAAAATTTAGGTGCAGATCTACAAAGTTTGGATTTATCCAGTTGTACCTGGCTTGGGTCTGGCTGCTGTGCTCAGCTCCTTCCTGCTGCTGCCGTTGGGTGTGAAACTTTTGTGCCCCTCTGGCAAGATATTCTGCTCCTGGACTAGCTCGGTGGTTCTGTACCCCACTCTCTCTGTTAGGATTGCAGCTGCAGGGTTTTACCCCAGGCCTGTATGCCAGGCCTGAGCTGAGTCTGGCGGGGACAAGGTGGAGTAGGGTGGAGAGGCACTTCTCCTACTCACTCACTGGTCCTGGGCTAGGACTGCATCGGGGGGTTTCCTCGAACGTGGCAGAAATTCTCACTTGGTGGATGGGGTGAGGGAAGTGCTGCAGTGTGGTCTTGTGGGGCCCCACTCAGGTGGAAGAGGGTGTCACCCACACTGTGCCTGGGCTTGGACCAGCAGGTCCCACAGGCTCAGTGTAGCTGAAAGCTCTCCCACACACTCACTGGGCCTGGGCTAGGACTGGATCTGGGGTTCCCTAGAATGCAGCAGAAATTCTCACTTGGTGGGTGGGGTGGGGGTGGGGTGCTGCGGAGTATTGAGGGTGTCCCAGTGGTGTGGAAAAGGGTCTCACCCACTCTGCCTCACCTAGGTTTTAATTTCTGATATTATCTCTTTGGATTTTTAAGTGAATATAAAGCTCATAGAAATATGTTGATGTTTAGTCTATATATCAGATACATACTAAGATTTTCATATTTTGTTATTGTTATTTTTAGTTCCTACCAACTACACAGTGAATAATATAATAAGAACCTCCTGACAAAACTGTCAGTCCAGTGAGATGTCAAGAATATCCTACAAAAAGGCCAGGAAAGGAATACATATGTACTGTCAGTGTAGGCAACAGATTCATGTTGAATGTGTTGTGGTCATGTGTGAAGACTACTTTAGGTATGAAAATTTAATTAAAAACTTTCATATATTGTTATTTGTATTTTCATTGCAGGTCATATATAAATATATTTCTGTTGTTTTTTTTTAGATCTTTTACATCAGTAACTAATCAATGTTTGAAATTTTGATATTGCCGGCTCTGCTGATAATCCACTGCTATTATGGACTATTGGACTATATTGGTTTATTTTGCTGAATTCAAGTACCTACAATCTTCATACTGGCTTCAAGTATATAAAGGTACTTTAGAGACTTCTCCAAATGCAGCTTATCTAACTTCAGTTCAACACCCATTTCTGATGAAACAAAACAAAAAAGAGGGATATAAATAAAGGACCATTTTGTTGTGAAAAAATTTATGCATAAACAAGATAGTTAGGATAGATATACAGCTTCTTTCTTTTAGCTCAATGAGAAGAAAGGTTTGTACTAATATTGTTTAGATAAGATATCATGTCTACATCTTGTCCTCTGAATAACTACTATGAAGACAACAATATGCAATGTATTAATTACTATAACTGTCATACTAACCTGTTTTGAAACTGTTTTATTGCTTTTTTATCTTTTTTCTCATTAAAATGAATAGAAGATTAAAAATAAATAAACAAATACATAGGAGTGAATACTCTTTTAAGCATCATAGAAACCAAAATAATTAAAATTCTGATGATTTCATATAAACATATTATAAATATTAAAATGCAATACTTTATTTTTCTGATATTTTCATGTTAAGCACTTATTGTATAATATAAAAAAACTTATGTAATTAACAATTAACCAGCAGAACTGCTGTATAGAATAAACACGAGTCTGATGTACCTATGAATAAGAGAGTTTGTGACAAAAGTCTTCTGCTCCACTTTAATTCAAGAGGATTTATCAAACTTGATCCTCCAACCATAGGATTCAAAACACAGTGAGAGAGAATTTCTTCAAAAACATTTTCACCGAGATTGACAGGTAAAGTTGAGCAAGAAAATACGAAATTATCAAAATATACTGGAATAACCATATTTAAGTCATAATAAGTCCTACAGGGAAAAATGTAATGGAACACAAAAGGGAATTCTGAAGTGTGGTGATGTGCGGAAAAACGTTATCATAGTAAATACGAACAGAAGTGATTGAGAAGGTCAAGTGGTGCGTGACATAAAAGGGAGAACTGAATCAAACTCAAGGTTAAATATAAGGATGTAATATAGATTTTAAGGAAGGAACTTTTTTTCCCTCAAAATAAGACTTGAAATCCAGCTGGCAGGAGCAAGGCTGCTCACGCGACCCTCCTGATGTCCCTTGTGGAAGGTGAAGCGGCTCATCTGGCCAGTGATTCCGTATACATCTGTGTAGCAGACTTTCCTAGTAACCCAGTGGCCGAGTTCTTAATCAGACTGCATCTTGGAGGACGGGATGAGAGGATGAACAGGAAGAACACTCTCCTGGCTGCACAGCAAGTGTGCAAGGAGTTCACGGACCTCCTCACTCAAGACCGGGCCCCCAGTGGGAACAACAGGCCCACCCCAGCGCTGGAGGCGAATGTACAGAACTATTTGTAGCTTTGCGGTCTGATCAACCACAGCCTTGGCAGCCAGGCCATCTGCGTGGTCGTGTCTGCCTTGCAGAACCATGTTGAAGAAGCCCTGATCCTGATAGGTCAGTCCTGAATGAACCCCTGAGAGCAGAGTCCCTCGGATTCCAACAAGACTCTGGAGAAGATGGAGAAGCACCACAAGTGACAGTGGGCGGGCTCGTGGGACTGGACTGGAGAGAACTGCGAGATGCGTCCCTCCCTGCTCTCAGCAGACTGTGAAGTCCTGGAGCCGGGGGAAGTGCTCACTAACTATCTGATTCGTTCCTGGATAGAATAAGACTATGACTCTCCCCCTCGGACTCGGTTTCTCAAGTGTCGAAGAGTCTGAATCCGGACATCAGATCCCAAGGTAACAAGTGCTGGGTTTTGTTATTGTTACACATTAAGCATTTATACTTTGGGTCCCCAACCATCCTTTCCCTCCAAATGGTGCTACAAGTTGTAAGATCAATACAACTTGTTGAGGCCTGGGCCTCAACAAGAAACAGTACCCTTGGCTGTTGTAATGTCAGATTGACTTTACAACATTGATGCTACAACATTACATTGATGTGTAACAACATTACAACATTACATTGGTCTGTAATGAACAGATCCACAGCTTATTTTTTCAGTGTTAAGACAGAGTGGCTGGTTTCTGCATCCACTCAATGTTTACCATAACAAATGAGTATTTTATCTATGCTCTTCAATCATCATATCATCCTCCAGCGGGGGGGAGGGGGGCGGAGGGTCTGTGTGCTTAGTAACTGGTTAACAAGTATTATTTGACACACTTTGAATCCCAAGTTCAAAGGGGGCCTTCTGATTTTAGAAACTTGTGTAAGGAAAGCATGTTGATTTAATTTCTCTTGGGTGTTTTTTTTTTTAACTTTGAAAGTTGACTCTTTAAATGGGACACACTTGGAAATGATCTGTTCCTATGAGGTATTAAAGCTTTCTTTGAATATTCATGTCAAGTCTTGATTTTTCTTTCAGTAAACTTGAAAAGGGTGGGAATGGAGCCTGACAGCTTCCTGTCACCCCAGTCCCTGTGGAGATCTATATTTTGAGAAATAGTCTGCCCTGTGTACAGAATTTATTTATGCATAATTTAATGGGGTCTGTAAACACTGTTGTACGTTCTATGACCTTTTGAGAAATGGGATCCGATTTTATTATTAACTTTTAATGGTGATGGGGTAATCTATGACACACTTTTAGACTTTTTTATTAACACAGGGTATTAAGACTTGATCCTGTGTTTGGTTCTTGAGTTGGATTCTATTCCACTGAAGCTCTCAGAAAGCCATAACTTTGTGTCTCAGTCCTATGAGCTCATGTCCGAGATACATGTGTGGGAGTTTGTGTGGATGAGAGGGAGACATGAAACTGAGCTCTATTGAACTCTATTTCTACAAATGTCCTTCAAATAATGGCTTTGTAAGGAACTTGCATAATAAAGATATTCTCAGTACAATCTGGAAAATAAATAGAAATTTTTCCTGTGGATAGCAACTTTAAGGATAGAGTAAAAATGAATCTATTGATAATTGAAGTAAATTCCATGATGTAATAAAATATGGAACTGAAAATAATAGTATAGGTTCACCTCTGAGCCATTATGCACTTAAAAAAGAACATATTTTTAAAAATTAGAATGGTTTCCTATTATGAAAATGTTTTCTTATCTCTAAACATAGGCAGAGAATTTCTCTCTGATCTTAACAAAATAATGTAGCACTTGGGGACAAAGATGCAGCCCAGCAGCCCTGCACTGGAGGCCGAGATGGAGAAAACCTTCATGGCCACCATGGCCTTCCCCTTGCTGCTGTGGTACACAGGCAGAAAGGTGACCCACACACTGCAGAACACCAGCATGCTTAAGGTCAGGAACTTGGCTTCATTGAAGGTATCAGGAAGATTTCTGGCCAGGAAAGCCACTGTAAAGCTCACCAGAGCTAAGGAGCCCAGGTATCCCAAGACACAGTAGAAGGCGGTGAGCAAGCCCTTGTTGCACACGATGATGATGTGGCCATGTTCAAAGTATGAGTCTGTGTCAATGTAGGGTGGATTTGTCCTCATCCAGACTCCACAGAGAGTGAGTTGGATCAGGGAGTAGATGGGGATGATGTAGTTTGGTGCTCCTGATACCAGCCACTGTCTCATCCTTCTGTCTGGAGCAGTGATTTTGAAGGCCAGAACCACAGTCATGGTCTTTGCCAAGACAGTGGAAACAGCCACAGTGAACACAACTCCAAATGTGGTCTGTTGCAGGATGCAGGTGGCTGTGTTGGGACAGCCGATGAAGAGCAAGGAGCAGAGGAAGCAGCAGGTGAGGGAGATGAGCAGGGTGTAGCTGAGAGCCCTGTTGTTGGCCTTGATGATGGGAGTGTCTCTGTTCTTGACAAAGAGCCCAAGAACAGCAGCTGTGAGGACAGTGAGACTCAGGGCATTGCCAGCCAGAGCCTTCCCCAGGGGGTCTTCATAAGCCAGAAATGTGACATTCCTTTGGAGGCAGTGGATTCTCTGAATGTTGGCATACTGATGGTCTGGACACCTCACACACTGTTCCATGTCTAGGGAGAAATTAGAATTATCGACACTGAAATTTCAGTATTTCCTTCTTATTCATAGCCCTCACCCCATGGTGCTCATATCTGAGGAAAATTTCAGTTTTTTTAGACATATAAAGAGTATTATATAAGAAAATATTACTTCTTGATACTGACCACCTTATTTGTAATGCCATGGAAAACACTTCATTTTGTTTATTAGTCTGCTACATTTATAAATTCAGCTCTGTCTTTTCTCAATGCAGAATGCTTCTCTAAAAAGCAATCTCTGCAGATATTGTTGTGATTTCTCATAGAATCTGCAGGCAATTATTAAAAAAAGTACCATAATCTCCTCACTTTAATGAATTAGATAATTCTGGTAGTATTTCATTTCAGAAAACATATGAACTATCATCTCAGATAAGGTCATAATTTATACCAAAAATCACAATTGAATTTTGACTGCAATTACCTAGTGTCACCATATCAATTTTGTACACAGTGATTCTTTTTCAATCTGTGAACACATTATATTCAACCACTTGTTTAAGTTTTGTTTTTGTTAATTCTTTCCTTTAATTTACAACTCATGTGTTTGCAAACACTTAAAGAATTTATCAGCATTTCATATTTGGAGTAGAATAAATTTCATCTTTTAAATTTCATCATTGCATGTTACTTGAGTAAATTTTAGGAGTATTTTAATATAGATCATTTATTCAGAAATTGATAAATTCATTAATATTTTATATGCACACACAACTAACATTAGAAAATGATATAATTTATAGTAAGTCTGAGGTGGTAATTTTCCCAGTTCAATTATTTCCAAAGTGGTACTTGTGGTGTTGAAAAATCTTCAATATTATTTTTGTGTGCAACATCCAAAATGCATCTTAATATTCTTTGTTTTTCAGTACCATTGAGCCTCATTTTATGCACTTCACTTACTGTTGAAATTGTGATGTTTCTATGCTTTGTACTTCTTTTCATTATATCAAGAATTTATCACACCTTGTACCATATGTAATACAGATGCTATCATGTCTGTGAAATAATTATTATACATTGAAACATGTAGAGGTTGGGGAGGTAGCTCAGCAGTCTAAGTGCCTGCCTGGCAAGTGCAGGGACTCAAGTTAGTGCCCTGGTACTACACGCCCTACTGGCCCTGCGCCAAGCCAGCCAAGGAAACCAGGCGTGGTGGTGCATGCCTATAATACCAGCCCTGGAGAGGCAGAGACAGGAGAATCAGTATGAATCTGAGCTGTGTAGTGAGACTTTGTACTAAATGCATAAATAAATACGGACAGAAAAAGAAACATGTAGCTGCAATCATTTATCGCATCCTATATTCTGTGTAAATATAACCCATACAGCTCAATCGCACTAATGATTATTCATGTCAGTATGCATTGGCTGATTCAAAAGTAAGGCTTCTGATAATTTTTTAAAAGTATTATTACAGAAAAAGACACATGGCTGTTGTTTTTTCTCAAAATATATCCTCCTGTTCCAAAGGCCCTCAGCTCAATATATATATA